AAGATGTGCACGAGTACGAACTCTTAGTACCGAGTCCAAATTGCACAATAAGGTGGATTTGCACTCCAAATGTCTTGTAATGTTGATGGACATGTGATTCTTTGATTGGTTTAGTCATATAAACACATAAACCGCTTAATTGTGTCATAATGACAAGATGTGCACGAGTACGAACTCTTAGTACCGAGTCCAAATTGCACAATAAGGTGGATTTGCACTCCAAATGTCTTGTAATGTTGATGGACATGTGATTTAATGATTGGTTTAGTCATATAAACACATAAACCGCTTAATTGTGTCATAATGACAAGATGTGCACGAGTACGAACTCTTAGTACCGAGTCCAAATTGTACAATAAGGTGGATTTGCACTCCAAATGTCTTGTAATGTTGATGGACATGTGATTCAATTGATTGGTTTAGTCATATAAACACATAAACCGCTTAATTGTGTCATAATGACAAGATGTGCACGAGTACGAACTCTTAGTACCGAGTCCAAATTGCACAATAAGGTGGATTTGCACTCCAAATGTCTTGTAATGTTGATGGACATGTGATTCATTTGATTGGTTTAGTCATATAAACACATAAACCGCTTAATTGTGTCATAATGACAAGATGTGCACGAGTACGAACTCTTAGTACCGAGTCCAAATTGCACAATAAGGTGGATTTGCACTCCAAATGTCTTGTAATGTTGATGGACATGTGATTCAATGATTGGTTTAGTCATATAAACACATAAACCGCTTAATTGTGTCATAATGACAAGATGTGCACGAGTACGAACTCTTAGTACCGAGTCCAAATTGCACAATAAGGTGGATTTGCACTCCAAATGTCTTGTAATGTTGATGGACATGTGATTCTTTGATTGGTTTAGTCATATAAACACATAAACCGCTTAATTGTGTCATAATGACAAGATGTGCACGAGTACGAACTCTTAGTACCGAGTCCAAATTGCACAATAAGGTGGATTTGCACTCCAAATGTCTTGTAATGTTGATGGACATGTGATTCAATTGATTGGTTTAGTCATATAAACACATAAACCGCTTAATTGTGTCATAATGACAAGATGTGCACGAGTACGAACTCTTAGTACCGAGTCCAAATTGCACAATAAGGTGGATTTGCACTCCAAATGTCTTGTAATGTTGATAGACATGTGATTCTTTGATTGGTTTAGTCATATAAACACATAAACCGCTTAATTGTGTCATAATGACAAGATGTGCACGAGTACGAACTCTTAGTACCGAGTCCAAATTGCACAATAAGGTGGATTTGCACTCCAAATGTCTTGTAATGTTGATGGACATGTGATTCTTTGATTGGTTTAGTCATATAAACACATAAACCGCTTAATTGTGTCATAATGACAAGATGTGCACGAGTACGAACTCTTAGTACCGAGTCCAAATTGCACAATAAGGTGGATTTGCACTCCAAATGTCTTGTAATGTTGATGGACATGTGATTCTTTGATTGGTTTAGTCATATAAACACATAAACCGCTTAATTGTGTCATAATGACAAGATGTGCACGAGTACGAACTCTTAGTACCGAGTCCAAATTGCACAATAAGGTGGATTTGCACTCCAAATGTCTTGTAATGTTGATGGACATGTGATTCAATTGATTGGTTTAGTCATATAAACACATAAACCGCTTAATTGTGTCATAATGACAAGATGTGCACGAGTACGAACTCTTAGTACCGAGTCCAAATTGCACAATAAGGTGGATTTGCACTCCAAATGTCTTGTAATGTTGATGGACATGTGATTCATTGATTGGTTTAGTCATATAAACACATAAACCGCTTAATTGTGTCATAATGACAAGATGTGCACGAGTACGAACTCTTAGTACCGAGTCCAAATTGCACAATAAGGTGGATTTGCACTCCAAATGTCTTGTAATGTTGATGGACATGTGATTCATTGATTGGTTTAGTCATATAAACACATAAACCGCTTAATTGTGTCATAATGACAAGATGTGCACGAGTACGAACTCTTAGTACCGAGTCCAAATTGCACAATAAGGTGGATTTGCACTCCAAATGTCTTGTAATGTTGATGGACATGTGATTCTTTGATTGGTTTAGTCATATAAACACATAAACCGCTTAATTGTGTCATAATGACAAGATGTGCACGAGTACGAACTCTTAGTACCGAGTCCAAATTGTACAATAAGGTGGATTTGCACTCCAAATGTCTTGTAATGTTGATGGACATGTGATTCATTGATTGGTTTAGTCATATAAACACATAAACCGCTTAATTGTGTCATAATGACAAGATGTGCACGAGTACGAACTCTTAGTACCGAGTCCAAATTGCACAATAAGGTGGATTTGCACTCCAAATGTCTTGTAATGTTGATGGACATGTGATTCTTTGATTGGTTTAGTCATATAAACACATAAACCGCTTAATTGTGTCATAATGACAAGATGTGCACGAGTACGAACTCTTAGTACCGAGTCCAAATTGTACAATAAGGTGGATTTGCACTCCAAATGTCTTGTAATGTTGATGGACATGTGATTCATTGATTGGTTTAGTCATATAAACACATAAACCGCTTAATTGTGTCATAATGACAAGATGTGCACGAGTACGAACTCTTAGTACCGAGTCCAAATTGCACAATAAGGTGGATTTGCACTCCAAATGTCTTGTAATGTTGATGGACATGTGATTCTATGATTGGTTTAGTCATATAAACACATAAACCGCTTAATTGTGTCATAATGACAAGATGTGCACGAGTACGAACTCTTAGTACCGAGTCCAAATTGTACAATAAGGTGGATTTGCACTCCAAATGTCTTGTAATGTTGATGGACATGTGATTCATTGATTGGTTTAGTCATATAAACACATAAACCGCTTAATTGTGTCATAATGACAAGATGTGCACGAGTACGAACTCTTAGTACCGAGTCCAAATTGCACAATAAGGTGGATTTGCACTCCAAATGTCTTGTAATGTTGATGGACATGTGATTCTTTGATTGGTTTAGTCATATAAACACATAAACCGCTTAATTGTGTCATAATGACAAGATGTGCACGAGTACGAACTCTTAGTACCGAGTCCAAATTGCACAATAAGGTGGATTTGCACTCCAAATGTCTTGTAATGTTGATGGACATGTGATTCAATTGATTGGTTTAGTCATATAAACACATAAACCGCTTAATTGTGTCATAATGACAAGATGTGCACGAGTACGAACTCTTAGTACCGAGTCCAAATTGCACAATAAGGTGGATTTGCACTCCAAATGTCTTGTAATGTTGATGGACATGTGATTCTTTGATTGGTTTAGTCATATAAACACATAAACCGCTTAATTGTGTCATAATGACAAGATGTGCACGAGTACGAACTCTTAGTACCGAGTCCAAATTGCACAATAAGGTGGATTTGCACTCCAAATGTCTTGTAATGTTGATGGACATGTGATTCAATTGATTGGTTTAGTCATATAAACACATAAACCGCTTAATTGTGTCATAATGACAAGATGTGCACGAGTACGAACTCTTAGTACCGAGTCCAAATTGCACAATAAGGTGGATTTGCACTCCAAATGTCTTGTAATGTTGATAGACATGTGATTCTTTGATTGGTTTAGTCATATAAACACATAAACCGCTTAATTGTGTCATAATGACAAGATGTGCACGAGTACGAACTCTTAGTACCGAGTCCAAATTGCACAATAAGGTGGATTTGCACTCCAAATGTCTTGTAATGTTGATGGACATGTGATTC